CTCTGATAAAATATTTTATAACTACCTTCTTAATATCAGTAGGTATGTCTTTTACTTCCTTCTTGAAATTATCTACTAATTGACTCTCATAGAAGGCATGATGGGCATTCTCAAAAACTTGACAGATAGTATCAACTAATCCAATGTGTCTATCTGACAAAAAAATGATTTTACGATCTGTCCCAAAAGCAATCTTTAGAGATTCCATAAACCATAATAAGTTTTCGATACTTTTGGCATCCACAATAGCGAATGCAACGAGAAACATTTGTTCTTCCCTATCAAGTGAGTTGGCAGCAAGTAGAGTCCAAAGATATCGTGTCTTCAATGATGTCCTATCGAGAAATAGAAATGGACGACATCCACTTTTGAAGTCATGTATTGAGCCATAAAAGCTTAAGAACATTCAACGAAATTTACCATCTTGTCATACTTGTTCTATTATATAACTACTAGGATTCGTCTCTATCACACGGTATACATATACGGGTAACTAGTTGTATGCCTCCTATTGCAAACCATGTATGTCTTTGATGGTCATTTCTTTCCCTCATCAAGCCTTGCAATAGGTATTTCTAATCTATAATCTCGAGACAAATCATTCATGACTTATTTAGCCTTGTAATGCCCAATATCACTTACTTTATCCTTGATTAATGATGCAACAAATTTTTGGGACGCTCTTTTCTGCACATCATTGCTTGTCTCAATATTACACAAGTGATCTTTTTTCCATGCTTTGATGCTAAAAACATTCGTCCTGCCAAACTTCGAAGCATATATCTCTCATTTGCGTCCATCACCCTTGCATTTCGCCCTTATGCAATACCCCTCTTTTTTAACAAGACAGTATGTGAAATTGTGTGCTATAGTAAACTTGCTAAGGGCTTCTCGAAAGTCATCTAGGGATTCAAACTGCTGCCCTATATCGGTAAGTGCATCCTCCCATGAACTAAGCAACCTTGGTGCATTGTTTAGTTTGGAATCAGAGATCAAAACATTTGAGGATTGGCGGGGTCTGACCTCTTCAATTGCGCTAGTATTACGTGAAGTACTTCAACCCCTTTGTTCACTCCCATCAAATACATAGATAAACACATTATTCTCGCTTTTGTGTGCTTTCAATATCCTCTTAATATCATCGTCCATTAATAGATTCATAATAAATCTTCTATTTCTCGAGACAAAATACCTCAATGATATCAAGTGCATGTCTAGTTAGAAACGCTCTGCTATATATTTTCGCAGGTCATCTAACCACCCAGTTCTATTGTTAATCATAAATGTACATGCATCGCCACCAATATAATCTAAAGTCCCATCGACATTTGATTGTAGTTCTCCACCAAAAATACAATAAATCAATACGTTATCACTCATTTTCTTTTGTCATGTACAAGATTTGTAATAATTTACACTGTATACATTGAACTTGCTCAAGTTTGGTCTAGGATCTTTTTAAAAGAGCTGCAACTAAATTTTAACAAGAGGTAGGTAGGCATGTTGTTGGGGGGGACATAACCTACAAAAATATTTCTAACAATGATTATTTGAATACTGCAATCTTATCGATTTTATCATGTTAATGTTTGGATTTTTTAGTAAATTATGGAAACTAGTCTTGAAATAAAGCAAAAGAAACTTTTAAGATAAACATGCAATTCAATATTTCTACAAAGTAAAAACTGGTTCATATCCAAGTTAAACTAATACAATGCCTTTCTTTAGCAAAATGAAACAAAACTAAATGATGTTGTAGACGTGAATTCGAATGCATGTGAAATTGGAGAAAAACCTCATCCTAAATTTCTAGTATGTAAATAATACTATTTCTCTAAGCTATAGCTAAGCAATACCATTTCTCTAGCTATAGTTCAATCTATCAATATAGATAAGCAAAATATATACAACTAGCAATATAGACCATCCTAAAGTCTGTATATATTTTTTTAAAGAGCTACATCAAATAAGAAACAATTGATGCAAAGATAATCAAGAAAAAACAGATACAACAAAACAAATAAAAAATTTACTACAACCAAGAACATTCAAGCCCTAAATCACAATAGAGAAAAAATGACAAACTCTATAAGAATTTAATAAGAAAAACTACAATAATTCTTAAGCCATGAGCAATCAATTGAGATCAAATGACTGAATGACTTTCAATCTAAAAAAAACCCATAATTTCCCACCACCAAGAACATTCTAGCCCTAGAATGACAATAGACAATAGAGAAAAAAGCTAAACTCCATAACAAATTCAAAAGCAAACTTCAATAATTCTTAAGCCATGAGCAATCAATTTAGATCAAACGATTGAATGATTTTTAATTTAAAAAATACCCAAATTTTCCTACCACCATGATCATTCTAGCCCTAAAATGATAATAGAGAAAAAAAAACAAAACTCCATACAAATTCATAAGAAAAACTTCAATAATTCGTAAGCTATGAGCAATCCATCCCTTCAAAAATAAAAACTCTAAATATAGTAATTTAGACAATAGAAATGTACAGAGGGGGTTAAATGCCATTACCTCTAATTGATGGGAGTCCATGGGTTTTCTATGGATCGGGAAGGCTATTTGGGATTATGATTTTATAGGGAGTACATGCTGTTTTCCCATTAAATAAATTTCAAGAAAAAAAATGAAATAATAGTGTGAAATCATTAGTTAACTTCAACAAATCATTAGTTAACTTCATAAATAATTTTGCCCTTTGATAGGGTTTTTATACTATCCACCTTCGACAAAAAACGAAAGAAAATCATATTATGAGTTCCAAGATTTCAAAATGTCTTTCAGTAAATATCTTATAGTAGACCTTGTAGAAATTACATGATATATATAGTAACATATTAATTGATTTGTAAAATTTAATTTTCATCTTCTAAACTAATGATGGGGCAAATCTCTAAAACCCTATCAGATCAAATCTCTATCTATCTCTCTCTAAAAACATTTTTCTATTAGAGTACCATCTGGTTCTATAGGAACCAGCTGATTCTGGCTCCAACTAAAAAATGGACTGATTTCCACCAATTCCTAATCAGAATTGATCGATTCGAATCCAAATCGACATTTTTTTTAAACTCTACTTTTGCCAATCTAGCCTTCAAGGTGAGCTAATGAACAAAGCAATGTGTGAGCCAATAAATAGACTGAGAGAGAAAGGCAAGCTTTCTATGCTTCCCCTACAACATAGAAGTTATAACCCCCCCCCCCCCCCCTTTTCCCCTTATCCAACCATCCATTCCAAATGGAGGGCTAAGATTGTCCCAATCACAATGTCACATCTCTACACTATTTTATTTTTTATTTTTTATTTCTATAAACTCTTTTGCAACAAATTTTGGACGTCCATTCCTCTATTAAATTCGCACTAGCGAAAAATATAAAAAAAGAATTTTCAATAAAAAAAAAAGACCAAAATACCTCTGAAAATGTCAAGGGGTATTTTGATCATTATATTTTATCAAAAATTTATTTTAAATATTTTTTATAAGTGCGCCCCAGTCAGAAGATGACACGTACTAAATTTCATATTCATACAATTTGTATAAAAAGAGTTAAAAATAAAATATTATGAGATGTCGGATCTACGATGAAACGGTGAGTGGCTCTCTTGATCAAAATTGGACGGCTAGATGGTAGGAGAAGATAGAACTTCTGTGTTGTAGGGGCAGCATATAAACCTTTCCCAAGAGTGAAAGGGGAGAGGGAGAGAGGCATGCCTATCAATTCTTTTTGAAGCAAGTTGACAATGCCTTATCTTGCAGGGGACAATGAAATGTGGATTCCAAAGTAAGAAACACAAAGCAAAAGAAAAAAAAAAAAAAAAGGGAAAAATTTATTAGAATGCCCTTATGATGCAAAAAATAGTGTATTGTGTAACAAGTTATTTGGACAGTCTATTTCTAATATTTTCAAGTATTTATAAATCTGCTCAATCTATACTGTTTTTTAGAATTTTAAATTTTATAATTAGAGTTAAACATGGATTTTCAAGTCACTCTAGTTTTTTCAACACCAGTACAATATCTTATAGCAAACACTAGTACATTATCTTATAGCAAACACCAGTACAATATCTTATAGCAAAATTTCGAGATGCGCCTTTTTTATATAGTATAAGGTGTGCACCTTGTACACCTCAAATTTAACCTTTTACCTATATATTTTTTTAATTTCAACATCTGCCCATCAAAATGCCTCTAACTTTGAGTTGGAATAGTAGGGAAAGGAAAAATAGTTCTATTTTGATAGATTTTAAGGACAAATTTGAGAAATATTTTCACGTGAAAAAATTATCTTAGGTAGTTAAATGTGAGAATATTTTCATATTAATCGGTTCGGTCCATGTGCATTTCTTTAGACCGATTGGCAGTTAATTGGTGTGAAAAATACAGGGGAATTTTTCACATGAAAATATTTTTCATTGCACGCTTGGTTCGTATAAAAGAATTTGTTTTATTTTTTCCTGAGAAAATTTTACATGAAAAATTTCAGCATGTGAAAACTTTTAGGAAAAATTTTAGATAAGGATGAAACTTTATAATGTAGATCTACGAACGCACCTCAAAAATCCATCAGAAAAGTAGTTTTAATGTTGAAAAACCATTTGATTGATCATCTCCACATCGAAATGTATGACTTTGAAAAATAAAAAGATTTGAAGTCTCGGAAATAGTGCATTTTACAACATATTATCCAAACCGTCTATTTTTAAAATTTTCATATGTTTATAGATCTATTGATTTTAACTATTTTTAAAATTAAAATTTTTTATAATTAGATATAAAAATAGATTTTGAAAAAATCCTAATAACATTTTACACCATGCTAAAATTTGAAGGTGCACCTTACCTCTACGGCTACGGATGCATCCCTATGCCAAATGCACCCAACTTTTTAACACCGATTGATTCAATGCAGAAAAGTTGACCGTAAAAATCGACCGTCCGAAAATAAAAATGTATGAGATCTCTGTCATACGAGCTAAACATGCCCCATGGGAAAAAAAAACAAAGCGGAAATGACCCGTGGACTATTGACAAACACTTCAATATTTTCTTTTTAGGGACTCCCACTCTTCACGAATTTGCTTCCCAATAATCTCCATTTTTTTTTTGAATATCAATAATCTCCATGTTTCTCTGCAACACTCGCCTCCCTCGCTTCCTTTCACAATTCCACCACCACGCCCATCTTCATCTCTTATCTTCCTCTTTTTCTCAATCTCAACCCAAAAAAACTACCCAACCTTCGTTTCTTTCTTCTTCTTCACAATGGCGAAGCCACTGCAATTTGACAGCTTCGGTTATTGGGAAACTCTCACTTGAGGATGATACGGTTTCTTCTTCCTATCTCTCAGCTCGCATTTGGTGCCGCAAGGATATTGCAGTGAGTAATTCCCCTTCTCAAATCCATTCCTTCATTTTCTTTACTGGAGTGGCAGGTGCAATCCTTGCAAAGTTGCAGAAAGTGTTTGCCTTACTAATTTGAACTCTAGCTTTCCCTCTTTTTCCTCTGTTTCATCACATAATGCGAACACTTGCTCCGCATAGTTATATTTTTTCTGCCATAACATACGGAATGTTTTCAATTTGCATTTGATGAGGACTAAAATCTTTCAAGTAATGCTTTTAGGGTTGCATCTGTTTCATATGTGTCTGAAAACTGTGGGCCCACTTAGCTTATTTATTACTTATTTGCTTTCGAAGTTACAGTCTCAACTATAGCTGGTGAGTACCCAACCTTTCTTGTTTTTGCTACCGACAATAATTACATTGGTTTTTAGATAACGGAATCGCTTGTTTGCCTCATTAGTGCACCGAATCCTTCATATGCTATGGACTTGTTAGCTTTATTTGATTGTTAGGGGCTTCATTCTTTTTGAGCTGTTGAAAGGAAAGAAGTTGATGAACAGAGGTATCTGCTGTCTTTCATAGTATGCGTGAACTGTGTTATGTCAATACTTTGGATAGGGGTTGCTATCAGATGCTCTTTTGTGCTTTGGTGCAAGCTCCGCCAGCATTGATGATGGAGATGGTGACCCAGATGATGCTAAGGTGCAACCTTATTAATATAGTTCTTTTCTTTGGTATGGTTAACATTTTTATGTGTTTTTTTTCTGGCTTTTCCTGCTTTGTTATTTCTGTGAGGCGATCGAAATTTACTATGTTGCTTTTCTTCTGTTGGGAATCCCCGAAACTTGGTATAGGAACTGGAGGTCACTTTATCTAACAATCATCAACACCTTGTTTATGTTTCTTAATGAATTTCGCGGTATTATAGGGCATTAGTGCTATTCTAGAATTTTCTAGAGCCAGTATTTTTCTTGTCCTTTAAATAAATCTCTTGATGCTCCTCTAATAAGGTGCAAAGCAACGGGGATGCTTCAAAATGTATACTCAATTCTTTTGAGGTTGTTTCTGCTATTATAAGACATATTATATTTGTTGAATCTTCCTCACTGGCAATTCAACATTAGTGTATGGCATAAAGGGATATTGGCAACTGGAATGCTGCTGGATTTGGTCATTTTGACCAAATAGTTCATTGTGGGCATGTATTCACTGGCTTAAGATGTACAAATGTTAGGAGTTTTTTACATTGTTCTTACCCTAATTTATATTGAAATTGTACCCTAATTAAATTTTTTTATCAATGCTCCATTTTGTTTTTTTTCTTTTGAAAATTCTTCAATCCACTGGATTAGATCAACTTCTTGCAAATTTTTCCAAACTTGGGCAATCCTTGTCTGAGAAATGCCAACAGGGTTTCATTAGCATCATTTTTTTCATAAGTCCAATATATCAGAGATTTGAAAGCCCAACTTTGTAAGAATTTTCCAACTGCTGCAAAATGTGGACGGTTAAACCGCATTGAATTTTGAAATTGACATGGTATGTAACATGAACAGGAAAAGGAAATACATGTGTAGGGCTCTTATCGAATCATCTCTAAAGGCAACAATTATTCTTGATAAGGAATTTTATTAATCATTTTGGATTTGGAAAAGTGAATTTTATCCCTTTTCTGCTTATTGCTGCAAAATCAAGCCTTTATGACTGTCCAAATCAATCATTTTTCTATCAATAATTTCTTTTGAAAGTTCTGAGGTATGAAAATTCCCTCTTTTTTTTTTTCTTAGGAGCACCTATGAGAGCATTGCTATCACCCAGCATTAATCATTAAACAGTTTCTTATCTGGTTTGAATTAAGCCAATTACATTAAGGAGATAAGCAACTCCTTTTGCAAAATAAAGCTGAAGGGCCTTCTATGAGAAAACAGCTGTAAGGAAACAGATTGTATTCTTTTATCAAAAACACAAAATTGAAAGTGGCAATTTCTGAAATGTTTGAATTTCTTTGATCTTTGTATCCATCTTACTATGCTCCTCTTCAGTTTTTGTGGCAACATTTGGAGGTGTTCCTTATGTAATACAGATTTATGCGATGAATAACCTTTTTGTAGGCCTAAGAGAGGTTAAGAACCCTTTTTTGACATAGGTCACACGGAACCCTCACTTGCTCTATCGATTTGAGTATCTATGATCTTCCAAAATACCTGTTCAAAGGTTTTGTGCTTGCAGATTTGTGTCACTTCTTTCTTTGAGGAATGCCAAGATGTGGCTGGTTGCATCTCACACGCTGCTGATTCCATTGGCATGAAGGAGACTCCTAGTTATGAAGTCATAAATGGCAAAGAGCAGGACTGGGTAAAGATTGTTGAGGTTAGTACTGTATTTTTTAGGGCTGAGCATCTAAGAATGAGTAATAATGAATACATTCACGAAAATACCGTAATGCTCCTTATCTCTATATATGATACTACTGTGACGTTATATCATTGTGATTGAAGACCTTGATTCCCTTAGGCCCTTAGTAATAATAATAATTCTATTATATCCTGAGCGACCAGCACACCTGTGTTGGCCCCTCTACGGGGGAGTTAGAGAATATTAGCTCAGAGGATAAGAACATGTGGATAAACTCGGATTAATTCTTCTAAACTTTACAAAGAGGCTATGGAGTTTTGGACTGTTTCAGTTACTCTAGTTTCCCAAATAAAATTGTGAAAGGTATATGAGCCTATCAATAAATTTAAAGTTGCTAGAAAATATAGATTTTGAGATAACTTGCAAAATATTCATCTTAAATTTCAATTAATAGAAAAAGTTGAATTGATTTAAGAAAGTATACTATTAATGTAACTTACTGTTGTATATTGCATGCTGAAATCCACTTGGATGAAGAAAAATGCCTGACCTTGCCATTGCAGTTGAAATTCTAGTTTATGTTGCAGTCCATATAAACCATGTGCACGAATAGCGCATGTGTGTGCGTGTCTTGAGGGTTTATGTTACACATAATAGAGACAGTAAGGGAAGAATAGAACACCATAGTTGAATATTCATTTATGAATTTTGGAACCATGAATGGGAAAAATACATAGAGAGAGGTCAAGATGAAGAAAGGAAGAGAGAGTAACTGCTCCTTTAACATTGTTAATGAATTTCTTGTGGAATGGGGTACTATAGGTGTGTATAGCCCCTTGACTCACAAACCCTAGGCACTCATAACCCACACCAGATCAATAGAAATATCTGAACTGCCTCTCAGAACACAGCCTTTAACTCAAATATGGACATAATTAAATAAATATCCACCTCTATAGAGTCTTATGCACATGTAGCCAATTACTCAACTCGGCAAATGTGACAATGTTAAGTTTGATTCCTACCATTGCTGATAGACTTTCCTATATGCATCCTGGAACAAGGTGACCATGGAGGTCCTTGTGATCATGCTCACAGTCTTGTAACTACTTAAAATTAGAGTGAGCAGCATCATTCTTCCTCTGAATCCAGCATGGAGAAATCTTTCTTGTGAAAGGAAAGAAGTTGTGCTTTGAATTCTAACATGCACCAAATCCAATCTTCCATGAGCAAACAAATTGGTAAATTCTCATATAACTGGGAGGCATACATGAAAACTGAGTACTCATAACTCCATATATGATAAATGAAGATAAAATTGGAAAGTTCTTAACCAAGACATGTACTACTTCCCTTTCTTGATTGTTGAGTTGGATCTGCTAAATTTGCATTGTGTGACTGGAAAATGAATATTAGAGTACATAATTTCCTGTTGTAGTGTTTACTTTCATATCTAGGGTGGATTAATCTTTTCTTGTAATTTTTTGTTCTTATTAATAATTTCATCACATCACCAAGGAAACCTTTTTTTCCCTTCAATATGGATTAGTGTTGTAAAAATCGGCTTCGGCCACTTAGGTGGGCATCTAGATACTTAGGTGGACTTTTTAGAGAAGATGGGGGGGGGGGAGGAGGGAGAGAGAGTGTAGGGGTCCATGTATGTGTTTATGAGAAAGAGGCCTTGCATCGAATAATTGGAGGTCATCTTGTTTTTATTGTTCTTCTTACATTTATAGAGAGAGTATGGATCTGAAAGAGAGCGGGCTCTCACATTGAACACTTGGAGGTCATATTCGTCTGTGAGAGAGAGAGAGAGAGAGAGAGAGAGAGAGAGAGAGAGAGAGAGAGAGAGAGAGAGAGAGAGAGAGAGAGAGAGAGAGAGTACGTACGTACGTACGTACGTACGTACGTACGTACGTACGTACGTACGTACGTACGTACGTACGTACGTACGTACGTACGTACGTACGTACGTACGTAC